GTAGTAGAACCAAAAACCACATCTTAATTTTTGTAATAAAGTAACAGTTATAGGTATTCATATTTATAATATTTATCCACATGTTTCTAGTTTGTATATTCGGAATACGTGTTTGAGTTTCATACAAGTGCAAATCACATATGTTCTAATAAATTATATTCAGTAGCGATTTTAATTGAATATTTTGATTATTTATTTATTTTTTCAAATTAAAACTGAACTTTATTGACTGTGTCCTTTTCCAGACTTTTTATTAATTTATTGTAATTAATTATTTGCATGCAATTAAAAACTAATTTTAAACGATGCCAAAGAAGGATAACTTCTCACGCGCTTACATAAGTACACGCACCCATTTTTTTTACAATAATAAGAGTAAGGATTGGAATAATAATTCCAGCTGATTTTTAAATAATACTGAAAGTGCAATAAAGTTTAAAATCGAGCAGCAGAGGAATCGAACCTCACATCCTGCTTCGGCCTTGCATGCTCACTTCCTGTTTGGCACGACACCATGGCTACTTTCCTCAATACCGAAGCAGCTATTCCGACTTGTATATTACCTATGTTTTTATTTTTATGTACACAATACAAATTGTTAAATAATTTATTGCATGCAAAAAACTTTTCGATGTTCAAGGGTTTAATACATTCATTTAGAGTTTTCATGGGTATTGCTTTAGAAATATATTGATACTGGTAGTTTATATTGTAGTAAGTTCGTAGTTCGAAGCAAGTTTTAGTTTGAATAAATTTTGAAAATGCAACGTTTTTAGAGTGCATTATCTATTATTTTTTTCCTATGTAGTAAACATAGTTATTCACTAATGCAATATCGTGTTTGTAAAAAATAAATTTATCTAGACCGAGAAGCGCTTCCAAAATCAATATCCTCCTTTTTCATCTGTGGAAGGGTGATTCAATGACAAAAATATCGTAGGCACGAGCATTACTAGTAAAAACAGAAAATCTAAGGGAAAGGCCAGATAGACAAGCATATTATTTTAATTGTAAACGTGGAAATAAGTAATATTACTAAATTGCAATACATATTTGCGACCGATATTTGGTATTCCCGCCATTATTGTTTCAGATAGCGGGCGTAAATTCGTTTCATTAGAATTCGAAAAATTTCTTAAAAAATTTCTGGTGCAATCCACCGCAGAGCACCCTACCACCCATTCTACTAATGGCCAAGCTGGGAGATTTGTCCAAATAATTTAGAAATCACGAAAGAGTATGGAAAACGATAAGAAAAATTTACACGAGAAATTAAGTACAATAATGATACAGATACGACACACACCGACTGATACGGGACAAATCCCGTATCAAGTGATGATCAAGCGCGATATAACGACTAAATTTCATGTTATGTTCCAGAAAATCCGTCATACATCACACTCTTCAGAATATCCTGAAATCAAAAGCTTCTCTCCAGGAGACAAGGTACAAGTCCGTATATATGGTTTTTTCAGCAAATAAATAGGAATTTGTCAAAGTAGTACGCCGGGTGGGTCAACTACATTACGAGGTAAGTACTGAAAGTCGAGGGGTGGTGCGTCGCCACGTGGAACAGATGCTCCTCTTCCGGGGTAGTATCCTTGAACCAGCCAGCTTCTTCCTCAGGAATCGCGGCCGAGGGCTGATAGGTCTATGGCGTTACCATGAGCAACGACTCATGTCATTATATAAATAAACGATCAATAAAATTATTCAATGCATATTTCTTTTACATAAAATATTTGATAAGTATATACCTACTTATTACAGGAAAAAAATTACCTACATACATAAAGAAAAGTTTAAAAAATCGTGTAAGCTGAAACTATTATTATTTGCTCGAGGAGTAAGCAGCTGGCACATTCTTAGTTTTTTATATCTCTTCCCCGCCAAGCATAAGACATTTTTATACAAAGTCCAGAAAATCACTTGATTGATTGAGAGTTGAATCTAGTTGCAAATATAGATATATGATATGATGTAAGCAAATGTGCTGCTCCAGCCGCTTCGCCAAACCAGAATGATTGTACCCTGTGGAATTCTACCACCTTGCTTACTGCAAGCACATAACAGTTTAGAATAGTATTATGTGGCTAGTCTTCTGTTAGAGTCAATGTTTCTTTCCCAGATGACCAGATGTTACTTTTATAGACGAGCACGCTGATTCGAGTGAAATATTCGATGCACTACTACAGTATGTTTTGTAATATAAAGTAGATAAAGTGTGAAGCAATTTAATGGACATGACTCTAGCTGACACGATGTTTTCGGTGGCAAACTCCCAAAATAAGCTGGAGTGCGTCGCATCCGCATTTTAATGAACTTGTCTAACAGCTACTGAAATCCTAAAAACAACATTTTCACAAACTGGTATGTTTAAAATAGTAGTACCTAAGTCTGAGAAGTAAGAAGATGCAACATTAGAAAGACGAAAAATATTTAAAAGTTATGTAATCTCAAACAAGAGTGGGGATTGCCAGCATTTTAATAAGAAGTATAAAACACTTACAACGATTAGTTATGTTTAAACCCATAAAATCGAAAAGAAAAATTAAAAATTTTATAGTTATCCAACCAAACATCAGGGTCGGTCCAAACATCAGGGTCACGAGGCACTAACCAATTATGCTATCACCTTGTCGATTTTTTTCTAGAATTTCTTAGGCTGCCAGGCAATGCCGCCTCAACCCAAAATTTTATGTTTATTATATAAGTAAATGGGGACTGGACCACAGCTGAAAATTGGTGTTATTTCTCATTCGAATTTTAGCTATAATTGCATTTTGTCTTAAGTTTAAATTGTACTCTAATTTTCTTGATTTTTGTCTGTTGTAGTGGTTTGTAGGTGGTTGAGTAAAAATAGTATCCATCTATAAGACCTTTTCGACTCTACAAGATTTGTAAAGGCACATTTTTAAATAAACATCAATAAATTAGTAATTGTTCCTCAAAAATATACAATTAGTAAGCTAACCTAAACTTTAAGTTACCAATTTTAGGTGATCATTTATAATTTTTTGAGGATTATTCTCTTCTATATCTTTATAAATTACCGCAAAATTGGAAAGTTTTGTATAATATTGCCTATTCTGCTCAAAATTTTCATGTAAGTCACTTATCAATAAGTACCTGGACATATTGTGGGTGGTTACGATACTTAAAGCGTTGGTTATACTTGCTATTTAATAAATGTTGTGTTACGAAAACCTGTCAAACGTGCAATACGGTAGTTGTAATTATAATGTTATATGAGCACAGGTCAAAAGCCACTAAAGGGTACATACAGCCTTCCATGGTACGCAATGTAGTGGGAACTGCTACCGGTTATGAAGACGAATGCAGGTCTTTCTATTATCATACCCATTTAAGTAGTAATATAAATCATTATAGTTGGAAGACTAGATAATTTCAATTAAGGTTTCCTTAAAGATTTCCTAATAAAAAGGAAATTTATGTGATGTTGAATATTAAATACTTAAAAACACCATCGTCGGGACCTCCCCCAAAAATTATAAAACTTAGTCATGGTTTAAACAACGATCTTGCTATTTTTTCCTCCAAATATATGGTTAAGGTGATAAATGCTACAAAATTATTTTTATTTGCTGGCCCAAACTCTTATATATTGCTCTTTCTCTACAAAAATCTATACTTATAACATTAAAGAAAATAAGCAAAAAGAAGCAGGGTTTGGAAACCTTTTCATAATTAATTATGAAATATGAGAATCATATTTGATATTACCTTTATGTATTACCAGATACACTGGAGTGTAAAGTTAACTATTTATTATTATTTATGACCATCTACGAACATTGGATATTGGTCAGATTATACAACAAGGGTTCCCTACTTCAATTGGCAAAAACAGACCCGGTTACAAACCTTTACCTCTTTGGGTTTTTTCAACAAAGCCATTTTGTGGTTTGTAGTAAATCATGTAGTAATATTTTGTATTTAGAACGACTCTTTTATGTACGTCATTGTTTAAATGACTTTGCTTGTATATTTTCCGAATTAATTTACAAAAGCGTAATTAAACAATCATTACCACAATGAGTTGAAAATGTGGACCAATAAAAGAACCATACCAATAACTTTTTTTAATCTTATCTGCAATGAAGTATCTTTAAAACTTTGCGACCGCATTTAAAGACGTCAATCAAACTTAAGGAATCATTAAGTCACGTTCTGTCTTATGCTATTTTCAACGCAGAGAAAGTGACAGAATCAACTTTAATTAAAATTAGAAATTAAATAACGCCCCTGAGTGCATAATGATAAAAGTAAAAAAATACTAGAAATAATTCAATGCGGCCGGTATTAGGCTGGAAAGTTGCTGTAGCTTGTCATTGTTTACAGGTACCTCAAATTCTTCTGCTCGGTATGTACCTATGTATTAAAGTTCTCTTTGAAGGCTGGATAGATTTCGATGATAGATGAGTGAGTGCATTTGAGTGGGTCCCTGAATGGTTTAGATCCAAATCTAGATACCCTCTAACGTTAGGTAACCCTGTAATCGGGTTTCTTTGTTATTTTTCCGTTTAGCAGGTAATTTAAGCTTTAGCGTTTAAATTAATTAAAAATACATCCAATCAGAATAATGTTATTTATCAGCAGCTATTATGACCTGTAATTTGAAGTATATTTTTACATGCGGACGCTCTAATGCCGACGAAAATACTGCTTGGGCTTATTAATTTGACCTGGTAAGTTTCAAAAAATGATCAATTTAAGTGATTTTATTGGTAATCATTTAAACCGATATAAGAGAAACTATGTACTGCCGCCGGCTTCACACGAGGTGATTAAAATTGATCAACTTTTATCGTTCAATTGCTTTTCTTCATTAAAAATTTGATTGAAAATCTGTTCAGACTGTTCAAATTACCTGCGATTTAGCAATTGGTCAACTAAAATCGCCTCGTGTGAACCCGGTATTAGACACAAAACATATATCAGAAAGGGCAAAAGGCTAAAAATCAAAGAAATTGTTTACAGTAACAGAATTTTATTTAATGCAAATCCATTTTCGCACTATAGCCGACATGTACAAAAGAATTATTAATATCGCTTCCCATTGTAATGTAATGATACGTAAACAGGTAATTAAAGATTACACGACTCTCCACACAGATACAATCATGAAACACAAAACATTAAATCATTTTCTACACTAGAATCCCTCGAGCTTTTAAGTATTTTTCATCATAAATCACTATTTTATTATTAATTAATTATGTTACATTACTATAAATTGGGCCTACCTAGTATTTATTTATGACAAATGCTTCGTTACACGGAAAATTACGTATTAAATCCATGAGCACGTTTCCCGTTTCAATAAATTAAATTATTATGTCAATTTTTTTAATTTACAGCTTCACATTTTAAGGTTCATATTGCAGTGCGCCTGAATAACATACTCTTGCCAATTCAAAATAAGTGAAACGATTTGTTATTTTAAGAAGCTAAATACATAAATAGTATTTACAATATATAACAAAATTACGAGCAATTTTCGACGACGATTCTTTCAAAGTAAAACAGAGGTGTTAAGCGACATAGTTAAAAGGAACTTTTAATATAAATTAAATACGCGAGTAAATGATACCTGTCATACTTAATAGATTAATTAAAAAAATACATTTTGGCACTTCGAAGAAAAAGTAAAAATTAACACGAAAGAATCCCGTCTAAATTCCTCTAAACTCTTAATTACATGAGATAAAATTACGTATATATAGTTTATAGGAATCCAAAAATATTACAACTACTGTATCTTAAAATAAATTACATTATGCTTAATTCGAAATTAGCTATTCGTATACTGGGCACAACTAGTTATGATTTTTGTCATTTTCATGTGACTATAGATAAACTATATGTCTAATAATAAGTTAATTTCTATAGCTAACAAAATGGAATATTTCATCGTACTAAAGCTTTTGTAGTTACGTATTTAGGATATTGCTGGCGTGACGTGTAGTACAAAAAAATTACTTGAGCAGTATTTTAATGAAGTCTTGGTTATATCAAACTAAATCTCACAGTTAAATTTTAGTCTCGATCATGGGCACGAAATATGGTTTGTAGATAATATTACTGGACTCAAAAGCTGGCTTAATTTTTGTTTTTGTTACAGTGATTTTTTAATGTAAGTAAATGTAAAGGTTATTATATTCTTAATTACAAAAATTGTAAGCAAAGATTTTGTGTATATAACTGCAATATGGTTACTAGAGTATATCATTATAATTTTCTCAATTCAGCGTACTATCTACCAAGTAATAATATTTTGTTCACATACCACACCAGCATTAAGTAATGTAAGTTAACTACAGGTATCCCTACCATGTATTTTACGAACGTATACCGACGTTGTACATCAGATTTCTGTTAATATAATAATATAACAATACCCTAAAATTAATATTTACAATATTATCCATTTGTAACGCACTCAGCATATTAAAAAAAGTGCATCGCAGGGTCTATATAATCTTTAAAGACCACCTCACATACAATGACATAAACTGAGATTTAAAAATGTTTTCTTTTTGTTAAAACAATGTTTATTTTTAAGTATCCATTTATTTTACATTTCTGCTTTATTAACAACATGCATTTAGCATGAAATAAACAACAAACATGTTTTTGTATCATAAATATACTCCATTTTTTTTATATTTAAACCTGAAACGATTGTAAACTTATAACGTGATTGTTTTTAACAGAAAGATTATGTTAGACCCCAGATGCTAATGAAGTGTTTGGACATAGGAAAACATCGTGAGTTGCTGTGTTGATTGAACATTAGGTTTGTTCTAAACAACCTTAGTTAGTAAACGTATAAAGTAAGAATGATAAACAGACCCCGAGCATTTGTGTTTATTTCATTTTGTACGTGTAGTATATATTGGCCATTGCGCTGTACATTTCCACGGTTAATACAACTTTTAATATTAAATATTCGATAGATTTGATTGAGGACATAAAAATCATTAAAGTTACGAGATATATTACAATGATTTTTAGGGATTTTAACGCCACCCCACCAAAGCGTACTCAAAGAATAACAAATGAAAATAAATGCGAAATAATAATACTTTTGGTGAAAAAGATTTATGAAAACCATATCACATTGCATAATTTTAATCTGCAAAATAAAACAAAAAGACCTGATGTGTCAGTGAACATAGTGGAACTATAAAGAGTTGTAAGACCCGGTTGGATCGACTCCGCATTTTGGCAGATAAAGTGCGATTTCGAGTGAGCGATAGTGGGGCGCGATTCGCACGATAAATAAAAACACAATTCCATTTCAAGCTCGGGGCTGCGGCGCGGCGCGGCGTCCGTGTACCTCAGCAGGCGTCCAAGATTTATACACGGAGATGCGGACCAATATATCACCGGAACGCGGGAACCCGACCTATTCCTAGCCAACAGCCACTGTGCCGATCCTACACGATAGCGGATCAGCGAGATAGCATGCTACTCGACCCCATCTACGACTTCACACTCACCAATCTTTACCATTAGCTTCCATAGTAATATTTATTCATTCATTCACAAGTTGAGGTAAGCGATAAATAAGCGGACACAGCCGAACCGCGATTTTTCATCCGAACCTCATATAATTTATAGTCGACGATGATATCGCAACTGGTTCTTTTATTTGTGAAATAGTGATACGCGGAGTGTGCTCGGTGAGCGTTACTAACGGGAAATTTTGACGATAAATCACGGGCAGTCGATTGCCTAAACGTTCGTGTGGGCTGGCGGAAAAAATTATTCGATAGCCGAATTTGATATCTTGATCTCGCGAAAGCATGCTTCGAAGCATGCGATGGGGAGCGTACAACATGTTTCCGGTTACATCCATGTTTGTGAGCGCGCTATATCGGTGGAGGTTTTCCTATCACCTACCCAAAGCATTGATAACGCTTAACGCGGCGACCACCTGGAACAAAAGAAAAAGCAAAATTAATTGAAATGCCAATCATAAGAAATTATAAGCAGCGTGATTCCGGATAAACGCAGAATTAAGGAAAGCGTGCAATAGGTATTAATCGAGGATTACTTTAATGACTGCCATGTGAATTCGCTTCAGATTCCGTGGCATCTTACATCAAGCACAATACAAATGCTTTCTTCTCAAAATGCGTCCTCATAAACAAGGGCGGACTTAAAATGCAAATAATTTTGCGCGAGCCCCACGGGCATGTTAAAACAAACTCAGCATTCTAATAGCTTTCCATTATTTATCGCTTACGCTCATGGAAAGGCGATTTTTTTTTCAGTTAAAGTTAATTTCTAGCGTAATGCGTATTTGATAAAAGGCTGTATCTCTGGCAAGCAGGCTCCGACGAGCCCGGTCTGAAATTAAGATGTAACATGATGCGAGAACGAGCAAAAGCTGCTAGATTTATTGCTATACCACTTTGCATATGCTGATTTACAAAGACGATGGATATAGCAATGAGTGGTTGCGTGTGAGACAGCAATTAATTAAGTGTGCCAGGTTTCACAATAATTGATTTAGGAATTTAGTTTATTCAACGATTGTAATGAAATATATGTGCTTAATGAGTAGAAAATATTTTTAGAAAATAAAAGAAAGTAAGATCAGTATTTAATTATGTAAGTTATTTATTAAACGTCGTCTTCTGTGTGTTTTAACTCCAAGAAAAACGAACGGAATAGTAAAGAGTAATATAAATATGTAACGAAACATTTTTAATGTTTTAAAATTTCATGGTAACTAACATTATATTTATTATCCGACTCAAAAAAACAAGGAACATTCCCGATAAAAACTATATCATATTTTACTGTCATTTAATTTTAAAGTTTAGTTGTCCACTACAAAACATTTATCTGAGCGCCAAATTTTGACGTCAAAATTCTACTAAATAGTGCAAACTCCAAAGGCTCAAGGGGGTTGTATCTACTCGGGGACATTATTTTATTGCTGATACAAGCTATTCGCGACGGCGAGCGTGAGCAGGACGCCTAGCGGCTGTCTGCCGATCCGGACTCAGCAGAAAGAAACATAACAGAATCATTCGTGCGCGCCGCGCCTTTACAATATTATCTTCGTCGCAAGTGTGAGCGAAGCTTTAAATAAGTATGTATTTAGCATGAATACTCGTTACGATTTCCGTAAACGAGTTTTGATTTGTGGACCTGCGTTCGAAATTCGAACGTTTTTCTGTGCGTCGGACCACGAATCAAAATTTAATTTTCAATTCAGGTTTACTTGTTCTTTTTTATAATATGGCGTAAGAATCCTATAACTATATGTATAAAGTATGATCGTTTATAAGAATATACAATTATAAAGCTGATTTACTGTCATAAATAATAATAAGTTAGACATCACTATCTGAAAAGCGGAAACTTCTTCCAATTGAAAATGTTTAACAATACGTACAAAGGTTAGAATTTAAAGTAATACAATACAACACCACAGATAAAGTAAAAAGTCTTTTAAGAGAAAAAGGTCCACGTACCATATCTTACGTAAAGGATCGTAGCAAAGGAAAGTAATAAAGAAGTGGGACGCCAACCGAATAATTGATACGATTATGTGTTACTACTACCAAGGAGATAAGGGCAGGTTACATGTGACTAACGAAAATTATCCTAGAAAATTTAAATTTACACAGAAGAAGTTTTGTCAAATAGATACATTTTCTGCGCATGTCTCTAATAAGCACTCTATTATAAATGCAGCAATAATAATTTTGACTTAATAACAAACAACAAATATTTTAGACAGAAATAGCAATCCATTGCTTTTTAGGCAGATCTTAAAAATCGATCAGTGGACATCAATATTCGAAGAAATTAAAAGTTTGATTAGCCGATGAGGCGATAATTTGATTTATCCTACTCAGTAAACGGTAAAAAACAATAACTGTGAGAGAATTAGGACAAAAGAAGCTAAACCTAAAATTAGTAACCTAGGTCTCTCAACTCTTTCATGTTACTCTTACTATCCTGGGTTATTAACCTCGACACTAATTATAATTTAGCATCTAGTGTGGACACCAGGAACAATGTGAGAGCACATCTTCATCATGCATGAGCATTCATAAATCTTAACGACATGCGTTAAGCACTGAGTTACACCGTGCGCGGACATCGGCAAAATTTAAAACACTTTATTAACTTAAATTAATTTAAATTTATTTAAGAATATCTGTGTTCAAAGGTTAAATAGTAACGACAAAATAAAATGATCTAGAAAGTTATAAATAATGATAATAGAACGAAAAGTCTAAAATTTTAAATAATGATTACAATCTACCGATCACAAATAAAAAATTAATACATTACATTGTGGTCGCCACAGAATTTGAAATGAAACCTTTACTGACATTTTAGTTTCAACTATTCCCCTGTCTTCTGTGATTTGTCCAAGGATTTTGATTGCGTTTTTCATGAAGCATTATTCATGAAACTGCACCACAATGGATTTAAAGGCAGCACTCTTAACCTCATTAATAGCAAAAGGTCTTCGTTAGTAAAGATGGGTACTCCACAAGGCTCGATTCGTGGTCCTTTCTTGTTTTTAATTTATATAAATGACTTGTTTCGTAAGGCGTAATCAAAAGATTAAATTGTTTGCAGATGATGTTGCACTTTTATTTAAAATTAAGCAAAAACAACAATTTATTGACGATGTGAACAAAGTAGTCCAAGGAGTAGATTATGCTTCCAATTTTAATAAAGAACTATTGACTTTGACATTATGTAGCTACTTCATTTAATATCAATATTAAATTGTAATAAGATTTTTTAATGCTTATAATAAAAATATCATAAATTAAATAATATTATAATAAACAGAAATCAAGCTATCATTTGGCTACATCTTCTGTAATATGTTATAACTATATACAACGTTGTGTCTGTATTGATGTGATTCTGCACTTTGCAAAGGCAAGTTGCAAAGTTGCCTTAATTTCCTATTTTCCAAACAATATAGGCAATGTGTTGACGATTTCCTAGTATCATAAGATATGGTGTGTGAATACAGCCTACCATCTAGTGTTCGATCAGCTATCTTCTCTATATACAAATGTAGTGGTAGTGTAAATAAGCGGTCCAACAAAATCAAATTTCAGGATGGCCGGCATAGCCTAGAGGAGCTATTTACTATTTAACGGCATCAAGCTAGCATGCTAAATATAATATGTTTCCTTCCAGTGTGAACACCAAGAACAATGGAAGAAGGGCCTCGCTCCGTCAAGTGCGAGCGCACATAAATCTTGGCGGGACGCGCAATTCGTTGAATTACAGCATGCGCACCGACCGGGCACCGACGAAATTAGCTCCGGAGATAAATTGACGTAGGCCGCTAAATAAATTATTTGGGAAAACCGAGAAAAAACGGGCGTCTTCCCTCCTTGATAAGGGTTGGGGGTGGTTGTAATGAACAGCGTTGTGTAACGCTGCAATTATTATAGAATTGTTGTGTGTTAACGTTTTGTAGCGGCGATGTCGCTTTTTCCTATGTAAACGGATAATAATTATATGTAGTTCTATACTAGTACAGTGCTGAACAGTCCCCGTAAATATCTAAGTTGATACCTCTTCGTTACAACGAGCGCTTATCACTAAGTTTTATAATTTGAAAACAAGCACTAAATTATATAATGAATTGGGAGTTTATGTGCACTGCATAGCACAGTAATTTCATTTGTTACCTATAAAGATTTAAATTTACAATACTTATACTTTGAAATTTTATGTTATTTGTGAAAATTTGTAAGGTTTATTATTGTCAAAACGAGTTAAGAACTAATATTAAAATTTCAAATGAACTGAACTAGAAGTCTAGATTCCGCTGCTTCGATTTTTTTTTACCTTGCGTGAGTCTCATTCATTCACTCATTTATGTAGATCATGTTATGATTGTTTCAATTCGAAATTAATTCACCACTTTAATGTTTGTTGCTAACATTGCTAAAGTTAACCTTACTTGTAGGTTAGCAACTGCGTTTGATGAGTGATCATTTATTGTTTTTTTTTTTTGGGGTGGGGGATCTGTTAAATATTTTCAGTTTCATATTTATGGTACCTATTTATAAAGATAGTGAGATAATTATTCAACGTCCACGAGCGCTACTGCCGACAAACTATTGCATAGTTTGGCAGAATAGAAATAAGTGTAGTACTTAGTTTTTATTAAAAAAATTAATAAATAAAAAAAATGTCGTCTATTGACCTTATTTAAAATCCTGAAATAATAGTGTCAGGTTGCCAATACATTGCCTCAAACTATTTCCAAAGTTGTTACTTTTGCTTATCTCGAAAAATAGCAGATTGATATGAGATTTGTTGAGAGATTCTGGATAAGTTATGTAGCTGAAAATTACATTAAAAATCTTTTCTTTATTCTCTATCATTATAACTCGCCTATAATTAAGTTGTGAAACAGTCAGTTATCAAAACAATATAATTCACAACCATGTCGTAATGAACACGTAAACTTTTGTACTTTCCGACAATTATTTAAATGTAGTGTAATTATTTAAAGTAACCGGTTAAATTATAGTTAAATATGACTCGTTAACTCAGTGGTTCTCACGTCATAACGGTTAAAATTATAACTTTTCAAAAACGTTTTTCACGTGTTGAGATATTGTGTATTTGACTCTGGAACTTGAGTAGTTCATGTAATTTTGCTTAAGAAGGTAGTGACTTTTTTATACCTGTAATAAATACATTAGCAGCATGAAAGAATGGCGCACAATGTTAAAATCTTTTTTTCCCCATCGCAATCAATCTTGTCTCATGGTTGGCAATGCATTATTGAATATGGTCGCATCTTTGAGAGAAACTACTCTAGTGAACTTGCATTCGCCAATTGTTTGGGTCTTAGATATTGGTCCGGAAACAATAATGATGAGATCTTCTTTTATAGTTTCCTAAATTGTCCTTCCTGTCGAC